CCTGCGGCTCGAGATTGTAATTCCCATACAACACGGCCGCTCATGTTGTAAACTATACTTACAACGTCAGTGGTATTATAAACTGAAGATGTGAACCACTTCTCAATTGAAAACGCATTGCTTTTTTCTACATTTTGTATCTTATACCAAGTCGTTTCTCTTATTTTTTCCCTTTGAAGTCTTGAGATAAGCTCACATAAATGAACTTAGTGATCTTTAGAACAATAAAATAAATGATGCATTGAACAAGCAGAGCACCAAACCCTCTGTAGAAACCAAGAAAACCYTCTTCACGCCARATAGTAGCACAACAGTCCATCATTCCAATGTAATTTGTACTGAGAGGCACAACATCGTAGCCGTTATCCAAATCATCAATAATTGTCCTCGTGCCTTGAATATAAAGACGATGTAGCACAGTACTGAACGGATACAGTAGTATATCAGGAACGACAAACGCCATGAAATTAGCAACAAGTTCTGGGTAATAACACTGGGTCATGTCGTTTGGGGTGTGAGGGTCATCTTCGGACTCCTTYAATGACCCATATAGACCCACTTGACGCATTGATAATAGGACCCAGTGCTGTGCGCATGTCTCGAAGATGTAGTGCACAAGACCATATAAAACAGTAGGCATTCCTATAGTCCACATCGGTAATAATCGACCACGCCCTCCTGATGAACGATTCCAACCAACGAATCTGTAGAGACCGTCTTTGAGTTTCTCAAGCGCACTTTGGCCTTTTTGAATGCGATCAGTCTGGAATAAAAAAAACAACATACATAAAAATGATTTCAYGAAAGCCTTCTTTTCGCCTCATGACAAGGATACTGGGATGTTTTGCSTTCTGAATACAATTGTCGTGAAATTCAGTCTTCCAACATTTTTCCTGGAAACGGAATCCACGAGGTTGGAATCAAGAATACAGGAACGCACTAGATTCCGTGTCATGGGGCGGCTTTTTGCAGGTATTACTAGTCCTTCTTATGAACGACTCTAATAATGTCTGCAAAGAAGACTAAAGATATTACCTTTAGATAGAACATGATAAAACAATGTAGTTTACATCCGTATTATGCCCTGACAAATTGCACACTATTTTTAAAAACATCWAAATGTACAATATACAGTACTTATATTTTACCTGAACTGTTTCCACCAAGCTTGCAGCAGCAATGGGCATGCTTACAATTAATCCCAGACTAAAAGAGAGTGAAAATTAACATCATCAAATGTGGGAAAAGTAGCATCTTTGTCACATTGGAAAAATAAACACAACAACGAGAATACCTAATGTCTAAGTAATGTCAAAGATAATGAATTTTGGTAAAATTACACAAGGTTCTTGGATRCACAATGGGCCTGAGGTTATGTCTGGGTTATGGTGGAGTTTAGCCTGTGATTGTATCTGCTAGGCCACGCTTTTAGCGCTAAAATAATGTACCTTTGTACCTATAGTCTGGGGGTAGGGTATGAAAAATCACAAAAATTGGTCTGTGATAGGGTAAGGGTTTTGAGAGTTGTATGGCACATCCCCACCCAAGCTGGGGAGGTAGTACCCCCCACCCMACCCCCTGGGACAATGGGCCATTAATTACCCTTTGGATCTTAATACTAAGAAACTCTTTTACCTTTTAAGAAGAAGATGTGAAGCTACCTCTTTGATTGTTGTCTCTTCTATGGTTGGTTTTTCTCTGTTTTAAACAAAGCAGTTTAACAATTAAAATAACTTATAGATCATTTAGGATCTTTATGTTTAGTGAAACTTCCATATATCTTGACTATAAACTAGATTTGGGATCACAGATCATTTAAAGGAGTGTAAGAAACTTCAGCTCAGAAGGAAGGGAATGCAAATTACTTCCCTAGAGTATTTCTGTGTGTGTGCAATCACCGTAACACTGGAAAGAAAGTGAATAAACTTACTTTGGCAACTGTGTTAATGAACTCAATGCAGCTTCACTGAAGAAGTTCACTGCACAGACAATGTAAGTACTGCCATACCCTTTCCACAGTGAAGTCAAGCCCTGTATGCATACAATACACAGCATGATTAATGCTTGATTTCTTCAAGCTTAGTGTATTTTGATAGATTTTAGTTTGTAAAATATCATGCTTTAGATTGGGGTGGCATCTTAACAGACCAGGCAGTGCTATAACCCTCAGCCACTGGATATGYTGATATCATTATTTAAAGTTATCAAATTCATTTCAAGCGGAGAGAGAGAGTGGGTATAATCTACCTGCTTTTGTTCCAGTCTCATCATGATTTGGAATACTGTAAATGGTGTTAKGTGGTATCTCTGTGCATTACTGTTCACTTGGCATTGCCGACTGAACACTAACAATGGATGAGTGATTGCTTGTGCAGCAAGCATGCTGAAATACAATGAACATCGGCATAATTTTTTTTATGTCTTACAATAAGAATGTGAGACATTACAGCCTAAAAATAGTTAACTAATACTGAATTGTGGGATGCCTAAGGTGCCATTTGAAGTACATTATAGGTAATGTATTATACAGTCACACACAAAAAAATTTCTCCTGCAATATAAAGACTCTTTCCTGCTTTTAGTAGCCACTGATTTTCAAAATTGTAAACAATTAATTCACTCTAAATTTTGGATCTGGCCATGACATCCCATAATTTTTTGGCATGAGGCATCCYATAATATTTCCTAGTAACAAAATTAAATAATATTGCATAAACATAGATAAMATTTAACTGCATTTCAACTTAAGTTATTTTCCCAATAGAGATCGATCACTAACCTTCCAGCCCCAACTGCAAATCCAGTAAGACGCTGAGCATTTTCTAAATATTGCAGAAAAGAAACATTCACTTACTGACACTGTTATGATGACAGTAAATTTTGTGAGGCAATGGGAATTGAAGCACAAATGGAAAAAATTCTGTGTCAATGTAGGGAAGGGGAGTGTGTGGGGGAATGGGGGAGGGATATAAGAGGGGATTAGGCTGATTTGACTGGCTCTGCATTTTCAGTAGAACGGTACAATAATAATTTGTAAAATTAAATATACACGAATAATTTGTAAATGAAGGAAATGTTAAGCTTCTTTTCATTGGTTTTAATAATAAATTCATGATAAAACTTGATGACAAATTTGTACAAAAATGGCTTCATTTTTCTCACCTATCTTGTGCTCCTTTGGAGTTTTCTTAGCTAAAGAATGTAGCACGTTTTCCTGAGATCTTGTTATATCGGAATTATCATCCATATCTGGTTTTCTGTGAGATTTTTGGGTACCTACACCTTGTACTCCATAAAGACGATCATWGACCATTTTGATCTTCTAAACCTCCGAGCAAACTAGACAGCGGTAAATAATCACAATATCTAACACAGGAAGCCCAGCACTATTCCCAGATTCTCTCGAACGAAATTTTGTTGACAACGAAGAGGGAAGTGTTGTAAGGAAGGTGTTTTTGATTGTTTTCGCCCGCAAAATCTCTCTTCAGGGAGTACAAATCAATMATTTGTGCGGAGTAAAATTTATTAGTTATTGCAGTTGCTTTTGTAAGCGACGATGGGAGCTGTCTTAGGGATCTGTACTGCGGCACAGGTGAGTTAAACTCAGATCATGCCCATCAGCACCTTCGCGATATTGAGGTACAAAATRCATGTAGAAACCTTTGTTTATTGTTGAGAAAGTCGACAATCTACTCTTGCTTTACAGACTATAAAATTAGAATTACATAGACCATTATCCATTCTAGATTTAATGTGAATTTGAATCATTTTTTTGTCGAAACGACTTGAAAGGATATGCATGATTTGTTTGGAAAGGCTGTACTATTATCATTATCGAATTTAAACTACTACTATATTGAGATTGTACAATCATTAATGTTTAACTTATGGCTGCTCTTCGTTATGAAAGTTGGCAGTCTTTATTTACAGTATTTTCATTTCCATAAAATTGACACTATGTCATTAAGCAGTTGATTGATTACTGCAATCTTGTAGTCGTCTGCGATTAACTTATATGGAAGTAAGATAGATGCATGAAATGTCAACCCTGTGCCTTTTCAGTGTGCTTGTTGCTGTTGCCCTGCTGCCGTTGGTTGCTGTTGTGCATGTTGCCCATCATGCAACAGTTCAACATCAACACGCATCATGTACAGCATCTATCTCTTATTGGGAACCGTAGTGTCTTGTCTCATGTATTCAACAAAAATACAAGAAGCTATGGTAGAAAAGGTATGAATATTCTAAATTCTAAATCATCTTGAATTCAATAGTATTTTCAGAATCATTACCAGCATACATGTATAATAAATTCCAGTTTCCAGTTCTTGTTTTCCATGCCCGGTTAACTTTAGGAGTGTTTGTCATACCAGTAGTTACCTATATAATTCTTTGCATTAAAAATATGCTCAAGTGATGTTGTATTAGTATGCAAAAAATATCCAGCACTTTCATGACATTGCATTACAGGGATGGTGATGTACTCTTAAATTTGGAATTAGTACCAAGCAGGCAGTACAACCCCTCCCCACTAGGTCAATCTCTACTCTACCCCTCATGATTTCATGTTTTGTGTGTTTAAGGTGCCATTTGGTTTGTTTGATAAAGCATGCACTGCTTCAGGAGCTGGTACAAACTGTGAACTCCTCACAGGATATCTTGCAGTTTATCGTATTTGCTTTGCAATGGCTTGCTTCTACTTTTTCTTCATGCTGATCACAATTGGTGTGAAGTCAAGTAAAGACTGCCGAGGAGGGATTCATAATGGGTGAGACCTCTGTTTATTGCACATATAGTTTTTATAGAATTGCACAACTATGCTACAGAAAATAGCCATAAATGGTAGATTTGCTGCTAACTATAAGTAACTAGTAATTTGTTACCTCATGAAATGACATATTGTTTTATTGCAGTTATTGGTGCATCAAATTTCTGATTTTAGTTGGTTTGTGTGTAGCTGCTTTCTTTATACCAAGAGGAGACTTTGGTATTGGTAAGTTTTGTTCAACTGTTGTTGTTTTTATTTTGTTTTGTTTTGTAACAGATTTAAATCATGCTAGTGGTACATTTGCTCAAGTATAAGGCACACTTTTTTCACAAAAAAGGTCGCTCTCCAATCTGGGTGAGGTTTAGTGTAAATATGCTACTAATTCTCTCAATAATGGTTTCTTTTTGTCCTTTCAGTATGGATGTACATTGGTTTCATTGGGGCCTTTGTGTTTATTTTGATCCAGATGATACTATTGGTTGACTTTGCCCATACGTGGAATGAAATCTGGTAAGTTCATTCTATTGGTAAAGCTTAGTATAACTTATGTATTTCAATGTACATGCATTAGTTGTAACATAGTCTGCAAACTTTTTAAATTTTAAACTTTTTTTAAATTTAAATTTTTAAATTTAAATTCATGGCCCTTGACTATAATCAAACCTTCAAGAGCCTGCTGTAGTACTGCAGTGTTCAGGTTTGGGGCCGGCTAAAAAGCCRTTCCACTTTGAGGATGGTTCACTTCGAAGCATGAACGGATCAGTGTGAACACTGTTTCAATCCGTACAGAAATRTGGACAATTCTGTGTGAACAAGTGGGAACTGTCCTAAAACAGAGGTGTCTTCAAACTTGACCGGCCCCGTGTRTACATAGTCTTACATGTAGATGATACTGGGAACCTAAAATGGAGTACAAAGTTTAGTACTTCGTTTATTTAATGAACAATATTTTCATTGGTATATTTACAGGACAAGTAATGGTGAAGAATCTAACAACAAGATGTGGTATTGTGGTAYGTACACTGAATGTGTTATTGATCCCTATTTACACGTCTTAAATACACGTAAATTGATCCAAGGAAGTGTTTTTGTGCTTCATACATAGTT